TTGTTTGGTCCACATTTGGGCCATTTTTTGGTTAATTTTCCATTTAAATTTTTAATATTATTTTAATATTATTTTTAATATTATTTTAATATTATTTTTTAATATTATTTTAATATTATCCTTAAAAAATATTCTAAAAAAGAAAAGACTCTTCTGTTGGTGTTTTCTCTCATTTGCTGTCTCCTGCCTGTGTTTGGTCCACATTTGGGCCATTTTTTGGTTAATTTTCCATTTTAAAATATTTTTAATATTATTTTAATATTTTTTTAATATTATTTTAATATTATTCTTAAAAAATATTCTAAAAAAGAAAAGACTCTTCTGTTGGTGTTTTCTCTCATTTGCTGTATCCTGCCTGTGTTTGGTCCACATTTGGGCCATTTTTTGGTTAATTTTCCATTTTAAAATATTTTTTAATATTATTTTAATATTTTTTAATATTATTTTAATATTATTCTTAAAAAATATTCTAAAAAAGAAAAGACTCTTCTGTTGGGGTTTTGCTCTCATTTGCTGTATCCTGCCTGTGTTTGGTCCACATCAGGGCCATTTTTTGGTTAATTTTCCATTTTAAAATATTTTTTAATATTATTTTAATATTATTATTAAAAATACAAAAAATATTCTAAAAATTCGTTAATATTTACAAAATTTCGTAAATACCAAAACTTTTTTTTGGGAAGTTTTGTAAATATTTTAAATATCGAAACAAAAAAACACCCCAATTACAAATCGATTTTAGAAACAATTTTTTTCTTGATCAAACAGGCCTAAAGATGTATATGGCTGTGCATGTGTGAACGCATATGTATATACATACAAATAAGCAATTAATTAGGACATTCTGGGTAATCCTGGAAGTGCATTACCCATCCCCTATCCCACCACCTCCCTCTCCTTATTTAAAAATATTTTAAAAAATCTCTTTCTCCCCCCACCCCCAATACATAGAACATGATCATTCTGTTTTTGTCCAAGGTAGTGCTTTCTGAATACTCAGGGAGCTTGAGTTTAAAAAAAAAAACCCCACATATTGGTTAGAAGTCCAAAATGGACATAGAAAACCCTATGGACTTCTTGAATAAGTTAGTGTGGGAAAGGATTTTGGAATGGGATGGGAGGACTTTTGGCAGTTTGAATCTAGAACAGTTTATAGAAAGTAGTAAGTTCAAAGTAAGTAGTAAATAAACAAGGTTATGACTAAGTAGGGTGAATATCCCCCCATCTCCAACCAGGGATTATAGGATCAAAGTTAGCAGCCAGACCTTTAATGGAAAGATGTATTTACTTACTTAAATATTACCTCCCATTCCAAAAGGACTCCATAAATTCCAGACTACTGTGAACTCTCAACAGGAACACTTAGTAGTGATATGTTTTATGTTTTAAAATATTTATATCCCATTTTTACCATGGGATTTCAGGCCCATATACATATGGATATCCTGGATCATTATGTTGTGAATATCCACTTTTTATAACCAATCAATTTTTTTGTAGCCTGTCCCCTCTCCCTGGGGGACTCAGGGCGGCTAACAACATGAAATAATAAACAAAGCAAATGTGTAAATAAACTGTCATAAATTAAATAAGAAATAAGAAATCTTTCCTTTTGTAGCCGTTGTTATGTGCCTTCAAGTCATTTCTGACTTATGATAACACTAAGGCAAACCAACCACAGTGCGCTTTTTTTTGTCTCAATTTGCTCAGAGGGAGTTTGGCATTGCCTTCCTCTGAGGCTAAGTAACTGTGACTTGCTTGAGCCATCTGAGGGTTTTCATGATGATGCAGGGGTTTTTGAACCCTGGTTTCCTAGAATACCAAGCCAACAGTCAAACCACTGTTTTAGCTCCCTTTGCATACCATTGCCAGCATTGAAATACCTAAGATAATTTACATTAAATTCAAATGTCACCTGAATTGAGAGAGGCTGTATGAAGTGTGCAGAATTATCTTAAATCAGTGTTTCTCAACCTTCCTATTCTGCGACCCCTTAATACAGTTCTTCATGTTGTGGTGACTCCCCCCCCCAACAATAAATTTATTTTTGTTGCTATTTCATAACTGTAATTTTGCTACTGTTATGAATTGTAATGTAAATACCTGATATGCAGGATATATTTTCATTCAGTGGACCAAATTTGGTACAAATACTCTATATATCTAAATTTGAAAACTGGTGGGGTTTGAGGGGTGTGATTTTGTCATTTGGAAGTTGTAGTTGCTGGGATTTATAGTTCATCTACAATCAAAGAGCATCTTGAACTCCACAAACGATAGCATTGAACCAAATTTGGCACACAGAACTGCCATGAACAACAGAAAATACTGGAAGGATTTGGTGGGCATTGACCTTGAGTTTTGGAGTTCTAGTTCACCTATATTCAGAGAACACTGTGGACTCAAACAATGATGGATCTGGACCAGTCTTGGCACGAATACTCAATACTGCCACATGTGACAACCCCTCTGATAGCCGCTCGCGACCCCCCCCCCCCGGGGCCCCGACCCCCAGGTTGAGAAACGCTGACTTAAATGTAATTCCCAGGGGCCCTGACTCCCAGTTCGAGAAACACTGCTTTAAACGCAATTCCTTGCTAAGACACATGCCTCTGATATCATGTCAGGTCATTGTGCATGTAATATTCATGCCAGGAACTGATTTTTTTTTGTTAGACAAACCTTGTGGGAGGCAAGGAGCTGGACATAGAATGTAGGCTCCAGTAGTACAGGAAGGACCCAGTCACTGTGACACAATTACGCTCTATCCTGCTCCCACAACTATGTTTTTTGTCTGATAATTTATTATCACTGTACGACATCTGGAGATGTGGACTTATAACCACAAAAGCTCTTGTTAAAATAAAACAAGTTGCTCATAAAGGTACTGCCACATATCTTTGTCTTTCTCTCCCTCCCCTTTTCTTTTTAAAATATCAAGAACTGAAGCATTGTTTCAGAACAGTCAAAACCAAAAACTACATGAGGTTAAACTACTCTAGATTCTTGCACAACGTTCAGTAAGATCAGCCAAAAGTGAGAGAAAACTGAATTCAGACAATGTTCTACAACAGTGAAAGTGATATCTAAATTTAAAAAAAATAGTCCAAGGTTCATATACATGATCAAATGTAAAGTTGACCATTGTGGTCTTCAGAAAGATGTTCTCAGCATGACGTACTATGCAGGTAATGGTGAGACTAGTGCTTTACCTTAAGGTTTGTCTTCTTGTTATTTTTTGTGAGAGATGCTGAAGCAAAGGAGCTTTACATATATTTTCTCAAAGCTTAATTCCAAGGCAGGCTAGATTTTACTTGGAAGTAAGCACCACTGAGTTGGAAGGACATTTAGTACTGCAGCCATAGTTTTCCAGACTCAGAGTGGTCACTCCAAATCTCACTTCAGCTTGGGTGGTAGTCAGCAAATCACTGTCTCAATCACATCCCTAATAAGAGTCTTAACATTTTTTTGGTGTCATATACCATCTATGAAACATTTTAAGCCAATTTTCTTTTAAATCCATTGCATAGGTGTATTTTATTTTTTTTATTCCAAATCAGTTCCCATTCTCTTAAATGAATTGGTCTCTTCAAATTTTGGGCCCATCTAATCATACAATTCTTTATAAGTTCCGTTTCTGTTGCGCAATCCAATAATTTATTATAGATTTTGGTTATTAATTTTCTTTGAGTTTGGAGAATTTTATCCCACGTTGTATCTTCTAGGTTAAAGCCTATTTTTTTATCTTGGTTATAGTAGTTCAAGATTTGCATATAATGTAACCAGGAAATATTCTCAAAATCTTTTTTTATATATTCTCATGGGATTTTAGTAATTTTGTATTTTTAATGAGTAAGTCCTTATATGTCGGCCATCTTGACCATCCCAGTAACTTTCTTTGATTCGCCTCCATGGGAGAAACCCATAATGGGGTTTCTGAATAAAAATTTCTTTTGTATTTTAGCCAGGTTCTTAATAAAGCTGATCTTATGAAATGGTTACCAAATCTTTTCTCCTTTCTTTCACGAGTCATAACATGTTACTATGCCACAGAGCTTGGCATGGAGGAGGCATTATAATATAATGCATGCAAATTACTTTAGCCATCTAAGGAAAGTGCAGTTTAAAATATTGTTATTATGGGGATTGTTTCAACTTCTTCATTTTCCCCTCTAGCATTCCTGCTGCTGCACTTGACCTGCTTGACCACATGCTGACACTGGATCCCAGTAAAAGATGCACAGCAGAGCAAGCTTTGCAGAGTGACTTCCTGAAAGATGTGGATGTCAGCAAGATGGATCCTCCAGAGTAAGTTCCATGTTTTCATCTGTGAAATACTAAAATCAGGGACACCATCCTGGAGTCCCACACCGAATGGATTCTGCAGTTCAGGCTATGTATTAGCAAGTAGTTAACACAAGTATGTTAAGTAAAGGTAAAGGTTTCCCAACATTAAGTCTAGTCATGTCCAACTCTGGGAGGTGGTTCTCATCTGAATTTCTAAGCCGAAGAGTCGGAGTTGTCCATAGACACCTCCAAGGTCATTTGGCCGGCATGACTGCACGGAGCACAATTACCTTCCTGCAGAAGTGGTACCTGTTAATCTAGTCACATTTGAATGTTTTTGAACTGCTAGGTTGGCAGAAGCTGGGCCTAACAGCGGGAGCGCCCTCCCGCCTCCTGGATTCGAACCACCAACCTTTCAGTCAGCAAGTTCAGCAGCTCAGCAGTTTAACCTGCTGCATCATCAGGGGGACGCTTGAGTATATTAGTGAAGCCATATTTAAAGAGAGAGACAACTCCATCCCTGATTTGTAAACCATTTTGAGGAGGAGCAAATGAATGAATGGTGTGGTGCTGTCTCTGTTATGTAGTTCAGCTCCAGTGTGTGCTGTTACTTTGGATATGAAGGAACCTAGACTACCAATTTCTCTTTCTCTGCAATGCAACTGTGATCTGATAAGAGATTCTTACTTTCTGTCTCTTCTGATTTGTTACTCCTTAGAAATGGCAGGGAGACTTTGACTTCCACACACATTTGTAGTGCAAAACTTCATTCTGTGACAAAAAATAATCTATAGTAGAGTGTGTGTTTTAATTTAGATTAGTCCCCCTCGGGGTGAGAAAAGCAGTATACAAATACTGTTAATAAATAATAAATAAATTAAATATTTTGTGTTAATTGCTGGCCTAGTCTTCATCGGAGGTCTGACATATGTACATAGGCCTCAAGGAAAGAATCTTGTCAGACTGGACCTGAAGGGGCAATTGCCTTTAACTGACCAAATACCACATTTTGTAACTTGATTCTCTGCCACCACCTGTTTCACTCGCTTCTCAGTAACCTCGTTGTATGATCTTTCCAGCCTTCCTCACTGGCAAGATTGCCATGAACTGTGGAGCAAGAAACGTCGGCGGCAGCGGCAGAGTGGGATTGTGGTGGAGGAACCCCCCTTGGTCAAAGTTTCCAAGAAGGAGTCGGTTTCCATAACAAGTGCAGAACCTATCAAGAATCACAGCAGTCCAGCACAACCACAGCCAGCTCAGATCAAAACACAACCTTGTGCTGGAGACACATTTGGTCAGTGTATAGTCTGGGACAATCTCAGAAGCTAGCTAACTCTTAGGGGCTTTTTTTTATTACTATGGGTTCCTTTGTCAACAAATTGACTGCTTGTTCCTCTTGCTGCTTTGAGCAGAGTTTACATGAAGAGGTAATATCCTGAAGCCAGGTCTCATTAGGAAATTATTGTGGCAAAAGTAGTACAGTTGCTGCTGAGTTTGAAATGCCACAAACTGGTGCAGGAATGTGCCTTTAGGGAGTTTCAACAACAAGTAAGAATTCAGGGTTGTATCAATCACTTAACTACTGACATTTGACTCATTCAGCAATCTGATTGATTTAAATGTGTACAAAATATTTTTGTTATTAGCAAAATCTTAATTATCTAAAGAAGGTAACTACAATGTACAGTTACATTGTTGGAGTGAAAATTAGCAACTCCCAAGAAGGAGAACCTGTTTTCCCTTTTACTTTTTAAATTCTGTATTATAGTTTCTTACTGGAATAAAGCTTCATCCACGTAAACTACAGAAAAAAAAATAAACAACAGTGGCCTTACCATTCAGCCTTGTCATTTTAGTATTGAATTCTGCCACATAATTAGCTTCATACTGATGAATCTAGTCAGTAAAGCTTTCAGGTTTCTTTATGTTGTTTCTTTTCCCAGACCCAGCTTAATGTAGAGGTTGTGGCTAATTTGCCTCCTCTCCTTGATCCCAAAGGGCACAAGTTAGCAGACTGTCATTTGTCCGAGAGGAAAGTGTATGTCTATTGTATGTTCGTTTGACTACATTGGAGGACTGCTTGATTTCTGTACTGGATCAACTTGAGTAAAGCTGAAGTTGACACTTGTCATTTTATGCCTTCAAAGGCATTTTGATTTATGATTGCCCAAAGGTGACCTAATCGAGAAGTTTTTGTGGCAGAATTTGACCAGAGGCATTTGCCCTGAGGCTGAGAAATGCCAAGTAATCTAGTGGGTTTCCATTGCTGAGTGGGGATATGAACCCTTCTCTTCCAGTGTTCTAGTCCAACACTCAAACCACCACAGCAACCATGCTGCCTCTAGAAATTGCCTGTACACGGAATATTTTGCATGGATCTTTTCCAGTTTTGAAGAATAGTGCATGCTTTCCCTCTCTTCTCAGAAACCAGTACATGATTTAAATCCCACAAAAGTTGCTTTCAGGAAGTAAGGCATACATTGAATTTGGATATATGAGCACAAGATTTGGACACCAGTGTCATGGAAGTATCCTGCTTCCATCCAGGCTTAGTGCGGGCATTGAGAATGGGCAGAGGAAGGAGAAGCTATGAGGGATCCTTCCCACTTTATTCCTGTGGAACTCTGTTCACACAGTTTTAACATGAGAAGTTAAAGAGTTCAATCAATTGAAAGAATTGCTTCTATGAACCTGTTCCAGAGACTGTCAGCCACAGCAAGAAAAGGAATGTATAGTAAATGTATGCATTCAAAACATTTCAGAAATGAGATACCAACACTTTCCCGATGTCCACTCACTTCAGTTTTGATGCTGGGACAGGCAGGGAAAAGCTTCCATTGCAGTTTTCAAGATAAGGGTAGGTTGGTGTGGATACAGAATTCCTTCTGGTATCTACGTCACAAGCTATGGAAGTTTTAACGATGAGCATCAGTATTTTTGTTTGGTGTTAAAAACTGACCAAGAACATGTCTTTTAAACACAATTGATTCCACTCTTCACAGCTCTTTCTCAGATATCTGACAGTGTATTCTAAGCTAACTAAAGTCTTCAGACACAGTCTCACATATACTATATTGCTGTAGTCTTGGACTTACCAGAGCATCGATCACTGTCTAGACTAGATGTGTCACTCGCTTCCAGGACAGAGGTAACACAGACATATCTCTGCCTATAGATAATAAAATACCACAATGTCAGTCAGTCTTCTAGGCATACCATTTGGAATCTGCTGTCTGAATTGGAATGGAACCACCAAATTGCTGTTTTGATTTAGATCTGTTGTATTATGAAGAAGGGAACTTGTGAAATCCCCAAACTAAATGATGCTCCTACTGTTAATTTGGGGTCTTTGCAAATTGGTACTTTGGTGATACAAAAAGTTTCTGATTAGGTCCAGGAGAATCAGTCCAGTCATACTTCAGACCCTCCTTCTTACGTCACAGTAGCTGTGCCCTGCCACGCGTTTCTGTGGCCTATAGTAAGAATTTTTGAAGTAGACGTAGATATCTGGACTATTATGAAAGAGAGGTACCTACCTATTCCTTCCCCCCTTTTTCTTCCCCTTCCTCTTGCTCTCCTTTCTTGCTTCTCTACCTCTTCCTTCTTTCGCTCTTTGGTTTCATCATTCCCTCCCCCTTTCTCTACTTCTTCCTTTGTCTCCTTTCTTCCCTCCCTGTTTCCTTCCTTCCTTCCACTTTTTATTTCCTTTTTTCCTTCCTTCTTTACCTCTTTCCTGCCTTTCCTCCCCTTTTTCTTTCCTTTCTACTTTCTCTTTTTCCTTCCTTCGGTACCTCTTTTTTTTCCAAATTTGGGGTCATTTGGCCCCGTAGGTTTTGTTTGTTTGTTTATAATGTACTCATTATGCACAGAGCATTTATATATATAGATATTAGGGCTGGGTAACACGGAAAAAATTGTTTCTAAACTCGATTCGTTTCCAGGGGGCGCTAGCGTTTCCAAATTCTAAATACTTCCGAAATTTTGAGATTTCAAAATTTCGTTATTTACAAAATTTCGTTAATTTCGAATCGATTCGTTAATGGCGGACGCGATTGCGCAATATGCTAAAAAAACCTCCAAATGGGACAGGGGGAACTTCTGAAGCTTCCCTCTCCCTCTGTTGTTGACTGTTGGTGTGATAAAACAAACAACAACTATAAAACTTGCACCAGACATGCGAAAATAATTACGAAATAATTACGAAACAATTTCGAAATAATAACGAAACAATAACGAAACAATTATGAAATACATTAAAAATTGTTTCGAATCTAATTTACTCCTCACACTATTCCTGCATGGCTCAATATCGGATCGTAAGCTAATTTAAATACGAATTAATAACGAATTACGAAATTAACGAACGAAACCACCCAGCCCTAATAGATATAGATATCAGCCAGCAGAGCAGCCAAGGTAAGATTCCAATATCTACAGGCACAAGAGACTTCTGAATCTTGATAGTACAAACCCAAGTAAGGGCTAGATATAAAGTAGACTAGTATGCAGATGAAGTTGGATTGAAGAGAGGAGAATTTAGAGTATTTATTTTGTTGAAATACTTCTCCCCGTCTTCTGTTATGAGATCTCCATGTGACAGTTAAAACAATTGACAGCAATTAAGATTTAAAAAATAATGTAAATAGGATATAAAATACATTAAATAGATATTTAGAATAATAATAATAATAATAATAATAATAAAACTTTATTTATAACCCACCCTATCTTGCCTTGAGTCCTCCTATCTGAGGGGGACTCAGAGCGGTTTCCAAATAAAAAGTGGTGAACATTCAATGCCATAACAAAAAAACAAACAGACAGACCAAATCAAAACAATAGGTAAAGCAACATCAATATAAACTTATAATAACTAACTAAAAAATAAGTGCTTAAATAAACATAATAAAGCTCATCAAACACATTTACAACATAAAAAAATGTGAACAGCTAAAATGCATTAAAAGTATGTTGATTAAAACATCACTTGGTAAAAAACAGCAGAAAGGGCTAAACCAGTGGTTCTCAACCTGTGGATGCCTAGATGTTTTGGTCTTCAACTCCTAGAAATCAGCTGGTAAACTGGTTGGGATTTCTGGGGGTGCTACACCTGGGGACGCATGGGTTGAGAACTACTGGGATAAAGCCATGTAGATAATGCTTCAAAATATTTAAGATTGTGCCCCAAAGGTTTTAGTAAAAAGTTGTGTTTTTATATCTAAAAAAGAAATCAATATTGACACCAGTTGGTCTTCTAAGGGGAGGATATTTCATAAAATATCCAAAGAGCGAAAGAGATCAAGAGAGAGGGGTGAGAGAGTCTTTGAAGTATTGCAGCCACAAGTCATTTTGGATGTAAATGCAATTACCAGCACCTTAAATTCAGAATAACATCTACTTCAATTCCTTAAAAATTGTATGTTGTATTGATGGCCCTATCATCAATCTTGCTAATGCATTTTGTGATAGCTGTAGCTTCCCAATCATCTTCAAGGACAGTGGTAGTGATGCATTCCTCTGCATCAATACAGGAGATAAAGGCTGAAACCTTCTCTATTCTACTCTCCTGTCCTACCTTCCACCCCATTTTGTAGACTCAGGTCCACAGGTAGGGCATGCAACATATTCCAGTGTTAATCAAATAGCTGGACTTTATGTTACAATTTTTTTCCCCAGCTATCATTGGGTCATTACTTCAAACCTTTGCTTTCTTATTTATTTTAACTCAGTATTGCTCCTCCTAGTTCTCTTAATTATTTTCTCTTCAGAAAGTTAAACGCATGTCTCTTTCATTGTGCAGGAGAATAAAAACAGGTGGAGAAGGAGGTGATCTCTAACAAAAGAAACAGTGAACTTCTGTTGGCATGAGGGGTGATCTGTCCATGGTGGAGTGCTCTTCGTGCCACCCTGAGAGTATTCTCCCTCTCACTCCATTCAGATATACCAAATAAGAGAAAAATATATACATAAAAACAATTGTGGGAATATTGTGCAAACTATGCCAAACCATCTAAAGTAGTGGAGAAATTGGTGTAAGAGTTTGGGGAGGCACAAAAATCATTTTAGTACTAATATGCCCCCTGTGGATTGTGCCTTGCCTATCCTATATCCTGTCAAGCTTCTTAGTAACTTCGTTTTTGTTGATTTCAAAAGTCTGGTTTTAAATGGTGGTGGAGGAGAAGCAGTGTCTGAATGTGTTGTGGGTAAGTGTAATTGTTTGGGAAGGGCGGGGGGCGTCACTATCTGCTGCTCTGTTCTAAAAGTTTGGATTGCTCCCCCTTTTCTCCTCTCTTTCCCCCTCTTTATCCCAATGGTCTCCCTTGTATTTGCAGTTGGACTTGGTGACATCACTCAGCAGCTGAATCAGAGCGAGTTGGCCGTCTTGTTGAACTTGTTGCAGAGTCAAACAGACCTCAGTATCCCACAGATGGCCCAGCTGCTCAACATCCACTCAAACCCTGAGATGCAGCAACAGTTGGAGGCTCTCAATCAGTCCATCAATGCACTCAACGAGGCTACCACCACACAGCCATCACAGGAGTCCCAGAAAGCGGCTGAAGAAGAAGCTGCTCTTGAGGAGCCCCCGCCAGCCCAGCTGTCAGAGGAGCAAGCCACTCCAGACGCAGCAAACACTCAGGGAGACATGCAGAATGTCCTGACGGTTTTGCTGAGCCAGCTCCTTAAGACCCAGGAGCCTGCAACAAATATGGAGGAGAATAATAGTGAGAAGAGCAGTGAACTGCAGGGGTGCCAGCCAAGCCCCACTTTGCCTCAGGATGAACCAGAAGGTAAATAACTGGGGCCCCCTTTCCCCCCTGCTCTTAGGACATAAGGGGGGAAAATATGTGGGTTTCCTACATGGTAAAATAAAAAACACATTGATTTTTCTTTAACCAAGCCTGGTAGTCGTCTCTGAGTGCGTGTGGAATCTGGCAATAGCTCTGGGTTCCTGAGAATTCTCACTGTAGATCCTTCAGGAGCTTCACACTCTCGCCTTCTATTTCCTTATGTGTTAAAAGAGAATAGTGGAAATCTTCAGGATGCCAGAAACGGGGAAGTTGTTTATAAATTAAAATGCCTGCCTAAATTAGGAGTAGCCACAGCATTCACATTAACCTCACAGCTGGTTCAAACATTCAGCTAAAGCCCATTGCACACCAGTCTTGGGATTTTACTACCTGGAAGATAGACTGGGTATTGGGTCCTTAAATTTTCTTTCACAACAAAACTTCCATACCTATAGAAACTTATCACAGTACTGAGAAGGCTAGGATGGCTTTTTACCCATGGGGGTGCATTCTAATGTTGCAGTCATAAGATGACTGTCTGTGTATGTGTTCTGAATGTTAGAACCTGCTGCTGCTCATGTCTTTTTGCCACACCGCATGCATTTTAAAAGTATCACCCTACCTTTAGTCTTTAAATGTCACCAAACTATGCTTTGAACCATTACATGTGAGGATTTCTTTTTAAAAAAATTGTATCTCCTGAGGTGTGGAATATTTTCTAACCCCAGCAAAAATTCTGTGCACCAAGCAGCATAAAAACCTTTCATATTCAAAGAAGTGTTTGTGTAGAATCAAGTGGATTCCACATAAACATCCGGGCAGAAAATACAAAGAAGAATGAAAGTAAAATAAAGGTAAAGGTTTCCCCATGACATTAAGTCTAGTCGTGGGGGATAGTGCTCATCTCCATTTCTAAGCTGAAGAGCTGGCGTTGTCCGTAGATGCCTCCAAGGTCATGTGCATGGAGCGCCGTTACCCTCCTGTCGGGGCAATACCTATTGATCTGCCCAAATTTGCACGTTTTTGACTGCAAGGTTGGCAGAGGCTGGGGTTAATAGTGGAAGCTCACCCCACTCCCCAGATTTGAACTACTGATCTTTTGGTCAGCAAGTTCAGCAACTCAGTGGTTTAACCCGCTGTGCCACCAGGGACTGCTAAATAAAATAAAACATTATATTATTGTAGGCTATTTCTAAGCTCCACTCCCAAATATCTATTGTTCGGTGATTTATTTGCTTATATTTGGCCAGTAGCTGACATTTGGGGGCATTTATTACAATTGTCCAAGTGACAGTGTTGTGTAATGCTGGTTTCCCGTCGTGGTCAGCTGTGAATTGCACATATGGTTTATTCCTGTGCTCTCGCAGGCAGCATCAGAAATTCTCGAGACCAATTTGACAGTTAGAGTAGCCCCACCCACTCTCCCCGTCAGTATAAATAGCCCGTGGTAGGGGCTACTGCCCAGTTCTTCTCATCCGCCGCTACAAGCAGCTAGGAAATTGAGACCTCGTTGAATTACCATCAGTTTGATCTAAACTTATAACATCGATCTAATACTCTCAAACAGTGAGCCAAACGTAAAATTATAAGAGCGATGTCCATCACTTCTTTTAAAAAATGTGTGTCATGTTCTAATAAGTTTCCGAACAATGACGCACACCTCAATTGCCTAATATGTCTGGGCGAAGGACATCTTACCCAAACTTGTGCCATCTGTAGGGCTTTCACGCCCCAAACAAGAAAGAATAGGGAATTAAGACGAAAAGCCGCTATCTATGAGCAAGTCCTTCTTCCCCTGGCACCGACAGCGCGCAGGGTAACCGTTGAGGAACCACAGAATAACGTTAACAATAACTTACCTAGCACGCGATCAACAGCCACAAAATCCTCTGCTGCAAAGAAAAATAAAAACAAAAAATCCAAGCCGCAAAAACCCTTGTGAGAAGGCGAGGCAGCAAAACAACAACCAGAATTAATGGAGCTACTAACGTAGCCTTCTCAGCAGAGGAAATAACGGCTAAGGGCCAGGGGGCGACCATATGTGTGAATTCACAGGTGACCACTCCGGAAACTATGTTTACAGGTAAGCAACCTATATTTCTCTATGTGAATTCTTCAACAAAATGAATCCTCAAATAGCCAGAATGCCCCTTCCTAGATTGCATATATGATGCAAACTTTTTTTAAAAAGCTGGTCAGAAAAAATGCTTCTAGATTTAGAGCAGTGGTTCTCAACCTGTGGGTCCCCAGGTGTTTTGGCCTACAACTCCCAGAAATCCCAGCCAGTTTACCAGCTGTTAGGATTTCTGGGAGTTGAAGGCCAAAACATCTGGGGACCCACAGGTTGAGAACTACTGATTTAGAGGATAGCGCATCACAGGGAACCTACTTCAGTCAAACTTTGCCCCACTTCTTCCTAGCCTTGAAACCCTCTCTACCTTTTTCTGTGGAAGAAACAACCACAGTCCAAAGTGAAGCAGAGGTGTAGGGTTCCAAACCCAATGAAAAGTAATGATGAGAATGACACACTTCTATCCCTTGATTGTTATTTTGACTGTTGAAAATATCAGTAGTTCATGTAGAATGAAAACAAGAATCCACCAATCAACATAAAGACAAAAAGACAAGTAATTGCTAGGTCTCTGTTAAAATCCAAACTCTGCACATTCTACCACAAATGCACAGAACCTAACTAGGGATATTAATTTACTGGGAGTTTTGATTATGGGAAGGGCTTTGTGTGTGTCATGAGTGAATTTTCTCTCTGGTACAGCATTTTGTGCAATGAGATTTTCCCCACCAACTTCTTTTTCTAAAAAAAATAAAATAAAATTCCTAGGCTTTAATTGTAAAGATATTCTTGAAAGGTGTATTAGCAATAGCTGTTAAAATTTCAGAAACCACAGAAGGAGTTTGGCAATAATTCAGGGGGGTAGGACTTCCATACCCCGCCTTGCTCTTTGCATCTCTCTGTTTTGTATTCAGGTCACAGAATGAGTTATAGTGCAGAAAATATGTTTTTCTGTTTTTTAAAAAATGCTCAAGCATACACACAGCTCTACTTATAATTGTGTACCTAGTGCAATTTCACTGATTGCTGTTGACTTCCGAAGATGCCTTTCAAGCCCTGCTATCGGATAACCTTTTTGATGGGAGATAAACTAGGACCTCCTCTTGTGATATGCTTTTCCTTAGACTGTGTTCGTATATCCGTATCTCCATATTTCCATGTCTGAAATGTGTTGATATTTGTTCACGTGTACTTTTGAGATGGTGTTTAAAAGAAGTAACCATTCCACAGCCTGTCCTCACATTCTCCCACCAGAGAAGAGACCCCCTGAGCCTCCCGGACCGCCACCGCAGCCACCGCCTGATCTGGCTGAAGAAAACATCTCCAACGCTGCTGAGGAGTTGAACCCAGTCGTGACAGCTGCGCTCCTCCAACTTTTATCCCAGCAAGAGGCAGGGCCCCCGAGTCACCCAAAGCACGAACCCCAAGTTGAGAGGCCTCCCTTGGATTACACCACGTCACAAACCTCCTCCAGGACTTACGGCGCCGATGGCCCCGAGGGCTGCAGCTTTGATGTGGATGATCGGAATTCCAGCCAAACCATAACACAGACGTCACCCCAGACCTTGGGGAAAAGTAGGACCTTTCTGGGCTCCGCAAGTCATCTCGGGGAGTCAAGCAGCTACCAGGGCTCAGGATCAGTTCAGTTCCCAGGGGACCAGGACCTCCGTTTCACACGGGTCCCTTTAGGGATGCATTCTGCTCTCGGGCAGTCCTTCCTCAAAACCGAAGGGAGCAACAACACACTGGCACACTCAGAGGCCAAAATTCACAACTACAGTGAGGTGGGAGTGGCAAATGCTAGTTCTAGTGATGCAGGAACGAGCCACACGTGGGGGGACCCAGTTCAGTCCACGACTTATGGAAAAAACTTTCGCGGGCAGAGTAGAGTGCCTCCGCGAGGAGGAAGAGGAAGAGGGATCCCTTACTAAAATGACTGGAAAGGGGGGAATTGGAACATTTTTGCTGATATTTTATCCTCCTATTCCCCTCTTGACTTTAGAGCAGCCAGTTTATCAGAGCAAACCATTGTCCATTTCTGGTCACCACACAAGCGGTTCATTGTTGATATTTTTTCTCCCTTTCTGCTCACCAGACTGCTGCTATCTCCCCCCTTTCCCAATGGTTTTAGAATGAAGACCCTTAGCCTTTCTCTTGACACCTTTCCATGCCCAAAGTTCACTGATTTGGGTTTCACATGGCAAGTTTTCCTACTCGTAGATGCAGAGGAGTGGGAGAAGGGAAAAAGAAATAAAACTTTAAACATATAATAAATTGGAAATATGAATGGAATGTGTTTACAAGCCTTGAGCCATTATTTCCGAAATGAGCCCACTGAAGAAGTAGATAAATTAAACCATTGCCCTGGTGTGTACATGTGACAGGTTGAAAGACTCACCTTGTGGGGATTGCCATTTTTGACCTCACCCTTCTACACAATAAACACCTAGAGAAAATCGACTTCCTTGCAAGTAGAAAATATGGTACGTCAGGAAGATGCTAACCCCACTGTATGAGTTTTCTACTTGCAAGCGAGGTTGTGTAACTATGAGAGGTGGAAGCATTCAGAAGTGGCAATTCCACTAACTAGTCGGCAGGAGCACAAACAGCTATTCTGAGACTATGTTCTGCAGAATGTCATACAGACCCAACCTCAGTATTGCAAAGATGGTGTGCTTATCACTTTCCTTTGCCTCCTTGAATTTCAAGATTTGTCAAGACGGTGCCTACATGCCTTTTTATACTGATTTAGGAGGGCTTGCTTCATGTTATGTAAAAGTTTGGAATCTTCTTTCTTAGCCACATTTTCTCCACATGAAGGCAAGATGCTACAGTCTTCTTCTGTGAGTGAGCTGTTCTCTGTTTTACTGTGAAAGGCCCAGTCCTGACATACTCATTTTCCAATCCTTAATGGAACTGAGTTTTTTGTAGAGTCCTTGAATTGGTTGGCTTTTGGATGGGTTTAGGGTTTATTTTTATTTTCCCTCTTTAAGAATGGCGAGTGTCCTTTTGTTGGAGGTTCTGAAGGCCAAAGTCAATGGCAAAGAAAAAATAATAAAATAAAAACCAAAAACGTTGTAATCCTTAAGTTCTTGGGGGTGGAGGGTCTTCAAGAGTGAAGCTGTGGCAACCCTAAATAATTTAGATGTAATGTTTTCAAGCTTTCAAAGGCTTAAAGATGTTATTGCCTAGTATGTGATTTCACGGCTTTCAGTGTTAAGAAACTCTGCAGATTTTTTTCACAGACACTGCAATTAAGACCTTTATATTTATTTTTTTAATGCTGTCGGAGCTCGAGCCGCGTGAATTTACCATTGTTTTGGTGAAATTTAGACTTTCCTTAGAGGCTGAGATACGAACAAAGATGTTGCAATGTGAAAATTTGAAAGCGTGACTATAATTTCTCAATAAAACATCATTGTTTCTTTTATGATGGCACTGTTCAGAGAAGCATGCCAGAACTGTGGGATCAGAGGGAAATATAATTTTTTTTAATATGTTGCTTTCCTATGTATACACAGGATGAGCTCTCTAACGAGTGGAGAGAATAGTGCATTGATACTGAAGTCAGGAAAAAATATGCCTTAAACTGGCTTTCTCTAACCTTTTGCCCTATAAATATGTTGGACTGAAACTACATTGCAGAGTTGCAATCTGGATGGTATCTGTTTCAGAAGGCTGCATTCAAACATAAGGATAGGACATTGGTGTCATACAAGGCAGTTGAAACAGCATTTAGAAGAACCTGCATGTAGGTGGGAGCACTAATAGATATAATATGTGTCTCTGTGTTTGTTTTTTTAAAAATGTGTCTATCAGTTCTTCAAAGTGTAGTAAGTTTGCAAAATTCCAAGTGTATACTTTGTGGGTTTTTTAAAAATGAGTTGGAATTTCATACCTAACATGCAAAAAAGTACTGTATATGCAGAGAGGCAAATAAAAAGGGAGAGATTTCTCCTAGGCATTTATTTAAACATTCCTTCTCTTTTTCTCTGTTCCCTTGCCATTTCAATATGCATTTTGTCAGTTGTTTGGATTTTTTTGTCATTTTTAAACTGAAATGAAATTTCTCCTTGACAATCTCTCTGATCATCTCCTACATGCTCTTCATTTCCCTATCTTTCCCCAGAGAAATAGGATTACAGTGTTCCCTCACTTATCGCGGTTGTTCCGTTCCAGGAACACCAGCGATAAGTAAAAATCCGCGATATAGGGACGCCTGGCTCCCCCTCCACTCCTCCTTCTCTTCCCCCTATTCTTCTTCCTTCCTAAATCTCCATTGACTTTGATGTGCTTGGAGGTGAGGCCGCTGAGGAATGGCCAGGCCCGGCCCGCAGGCAGGCAGAGAAGAAGGGAAAACAAGGGAAGCATGTCGCGGCCTCCTTCCTGCTCCGGTGGCTACTTGGACAGGCAGGGAGGAAGGGAAAGAGTGCACTTGCCCGGCTGAGGTCTGCTTTTTCTGCTAATGAGGTCTCCCTCTTTCCGCCTCCCGGTTTGCCTGCCTGCCTGTACCACGAGGAGAACCAGCTGGTCCCCAAAAAGGTGAGTGGGCCCTCGCCCTCCCGACTCTGTCCCCTTCATCTCCAGCACCTTTGGGCCTCTCGCCTTGGGCCTGCTCACCTTTTTGGGAACCAGCTGGTTCTTGTGGCGCAGGCAGGCTGGCTGGGAGGCGGAGAGAGGGAGAGCAGCAACAGCAGGTCTCGGCCGGGCAAATATGCTCTTTCCCTTCCTCCCTGCCTTTCCAAGGAGCTGTCGGAGCAGGAAGGAGGTGGTGGCATGCTTTCCTTGTTCTTCCTTCTTCCTTGCCTGTCCAAGGAGCAGCCTCCTCTTCTCCTCTTTCTCCGACAGTCCCCAATAAACTTATTTATTTTTAAGAAACAGTGAGTCCGCGTAAAGCGAACCATGAAACAGAGAGGAAACAATGTATTATCAATTAGCCATATAACTGTTTTTTCTCTTGTCTTTTCAAAAACCTGTTCACTTAAAGGAATTTGAGCACCTAATTGTATGCAAGGTCTTGCAGATTCTGAGCAAAACTATTTTTTTCTACTACAAGTTTTTCCCTCCACTATCACCAATCCCTTTAGACTTCTTTCTTCCTCTGCTGAAATTGCTGAAGGAGATGCATCCTAGCACAACGTTCTATTTCTGTAATTTCCAGTTCAGAAGCTTCAGACCTCTCATCTATACCCATTCTTTTGTAGACAACACAACACCATAGAATTCCACCAGAGTAGAGTATTTCAACAAAGAAAATAGTGCCTTAAATTAGGGATGCCAGGGAATTGTGGTGTTAACCTTACCTATGATATTAGCTCCAAAGTTTCCTATGGCCACCTTGCCAATTTCTATGTATGTTGGCTTACATATTTAAAAACAATGTTGACATTGGAGTGTTGTGTGGTTTCTGAGCTGTATGGCAGTGTTCCAGGAGCATTTTCTCCTGATGCATTGTCTGCATCTGGTCCTCCAGATCCTCTGAAGATGCCAGCCACAGATGCAGGCAAAACATCAGGAGAAAATGCTGCTAGAACATGGCTATACAGCCCGGAAACCACACAACACTCCAGTGATTCCAACCATGAAACGCTTTGACAATGTTAACATTGATAAAGTAAGTGCTCTTTCATTAAATTGTCATGTTGAACATCTTCACATCTCACCCACTGCTTTCAGGAACACACCCCGTCTGACCAAGATTTGTTGAGTCCCAGTCTTGAGCATTGTGTATTCTTTTGAGGGGTTCTATGTATATTCTTAAATAACCATTGTCATATTTTTGGTAGTGAAGAGGAAAGAAAGATGGTGGTGGACAGTGGAGGAAATGTCAACCATGTAAGGTTCAGTTTCCTAAAAAGGACCTACTTTGATGAATCTGAGATCTTTTCTTTAATCATCTAAAGACGTGATTGTTCAAAGTATTGAGATGCAGAAATGAACACAAAGGTTCTCTGGGGCTATAAGAAAAAAAATGTAAAATCTTGAGTAGGACAAATTCTTGCTTTAGATCAATGGAAAGTTGTGATTTACATATGGAGCACAGCAAGCAAAGACCTATCACATGCTGTAGAACTTAATAGTTCAAAGTGATATTTTTGGACCCAAACCACAGTAAAAAAGCGGAGAGTCCAATTTGATGGACCATGAATGGATCCTGTGCAAAACTGCAGATAATCTGCTGATATTCTTGCAAGTGTTACTTATAAAATACCACCAGACTGACATTGGCAATCATTTGAGATCTGCTGGACATTTAAAAAACATTCTCCTCAGAATGAGAAGTCTGAAAAAAAATTGGGAGATATACAGTTGAAAGCTTTCAGGCAGCATTTACAAGTGATAAGATAATTTCTCTGCAAAAGTATGATAGCTGAGACCCAATGCTGGTTGAGCAACGCAGGTTAGAATTAGAGAAGTAAAGATGTTACGTATTTGAACGTGTTTGCATATGATATCTGGATAGCCTTAAGCACTATGCTTGGCTGTTTGTTGGGTCCCCCCACCACCACCACTTTCTGGCGAACTATCTTGCCATGACTCTTTCGCACCTGTGCCTGTCACTGCACTGTCTCAGCTTTGGGTCCCAGCTATCATACTTTTCCCCATTTCTCTTCTATTCCAATAAGTTTCAAGCTCTATTTCGGGGACAGTTCTTGGGTGTTTTCTGATATTTGTTCATGAGATCTGCGATGCAAGAACAATTTTCCTGAAAGCTTGTCCAGCACTATGCAACATGCAAGTTTTGGAGAATCTTACAAGTAAGACACAATATATTTGTTGAGTGCTTCAGCTTTCTTTATGCACCCTGGACTGTACTTTAGACCAGTAGTTCTCAACCTTTGGTTCGCCAGTTGTTTTGGACTTTAACCCCTAGAAATTCCAACTAGCTTATCAGCTGTGGGAGTTGAAGTTCAAAACACTTGGAGAACCAAAGGTTGGAAACCACTGCTTTAGACCAACAGCTGGGATCTTCCTATAGATCTGTAGGTGACTTCTAGTAGACTAGTCACGGTTTCCTGACTTCCTCATCAATAATAACAAAACAGCCATGTTGAGTCTTATTTAAAAGAGAAAAAGGGTTATAAATAAATATTATAATAACAAAATAAAATGGCTTTTATTCTAGACTAGACTGCTTAAAAACTGACCAAGGGCAGCTCAGAACATGGAAAAGCTAACCTTTTGACTATAGCTCCCAGAATTGGGAGTGGCAATCCAAAAAATAGTTTCCTGTTCTGGAAGCAAAAAGCACATTCCTAGACTGTTATAGGTTTTGAGGTTCTGCTAAAAAG